CAAGCTGGAAAATAAATAACACTGGAAATTGTTATTTTTCCTTCATCCACTGCCACAGATGTAAATCCCAATTTAACGGCAAAGGAAAGGGCGGTGCCAGCCCCTTGGACAGAGCTTTCACCTCCAGCATGGCACTCGGCATGCACAGACCAGAGCGAGGATGGAAAGCATCAATACTTTTTTAATGGACATGGGCTCAGCCAGCGTGGTAACACACAGGCTGTGGTCCCACCAGTGCAGAGGGGTTTTTGGGACGCTCTGGGCGTCTTCAGGACAAAACAGCCAGTCCCCCTGCCTGCGTTCTGCCAGCAGAGCACAGGCTCCTGGAGCAGACTCGCGTGTGCCCAGCACCAAACCAAACAGCCCATCTTTCCAAAGGGCCCCTCCTGCCCTCACACCACTGTGTGATAGTCTCATTTATCAGTTTGAATGAAAACTAACTCACAGCAAAGGCCGATCTAAATCGGCACTCTCTAAACGCACTTAAAACAAGTCAACTAGGTAAGTGGGGTAGAAAATAAACAAGCTTTGGCTCACGTGTCTCAGCTCTTCAGTGAGCAGCTCCTGGCAGCAAGGGAAGGAGCCGCAACGGCTGTGCTCCCAGGGCAGTGTGGGGAAGTGCCCGTCGTGCCATGCTCCCTCATATACATGGGGTTCACTGCACCTGCCCCTGTCCCTGTCCTCCAGGAATACAACTCGAGCAGAGCTTCAACAACCCAGCTACTCCAGTTACCTGGTCTCAGCACATCACTCGCTTCAAACCTTAACTCCAGCTGTGACTGATAAGCATCTTGACATAGCCTGGGAACCTGCCAAGTCACATTTAAAGGAGTCTTGAGTTATCTAAACCAGATACAGTGCTGGTGCAGGACTGGCATTTTATTCTGTGTTTAAACCAACCTTATCATCCCTGTTGTTAGGGACAAGAATTGAAAGGAGATGAGGAAGGATTTCATTCTGTACTTTCTCTTCTCCTTTTATCAGGAACCATCAGAAAGCTTTAGCACAACTTTCCCAGCCTCCCAAGGCTTGCCATCTGTGGATCCGTACCAGCATCTGCACACCACAAGTACCTATTACAAAGCTGGCCAAAGGGGTGGGCTTCAGAAACTGCATTCTTCCTGGCACGGCTCGATTTCCAAAGAAATATTTACTTAACATCACCATTCGCTTGAGCAGAAAGGTTATACAGACAAATGGCTGGTGAGAGGGTCACCCCCTTCCCAAGGGCTCCGAGTCCTGCCTGCAAAGAGCTGAGTGTCCCCAGACCCTCCCAGGGGCTAAGGCCAGCCTGGAGAACAGCCTCCCTTCTTGTCCCATCTGTTAGTGCAGTAACCCACCCTTGACCCTGTTACTGGAATCTTACCTCCTCCTTCAACAGGCAGAAATTGTTACAGGTATTATCTGCAGAGGTATCACAATTACATAGTTGGCCACAACAGGATTATGCAGTCATTATGCCAGGTGATGCATAAACACCTGGCACTCTCCCAGGTGGATTACATCCAAACTGAAGAAAGGAATCTGCAGGTAGGTGTGACCACCAGACACAGGGATACCAAAACAGGTAACAGTAGTAACTGCAAATGCCACTTAAATCCCATCTGAAACCACGGACAGCTAGACTTTCCTCATACAATTACCCTCTAAATTCCTGTATCGCCTCTGTTTCCATTGCTTCAGCAATAGCTCCTTCTTTGATTCCACTTTAGCTCAAACCAAACAGGCCCACACCACTTACCTACCACTGTGTTTTGGTCTGAGAAGTCCTTTTGATGCCATTACCTTGGATTTATTCTATCAATGCTGCATTTCACTCTCAAAACAGGTTATTTAGTTACATCCAAGACTGCTGGTAGTAATTATGCAATAACCAGAGCACAAAGATAAACAGCTATAAGTCCACAGCATAACAAAAGCTTGGATTAATTTGCTAATTATACATAAGCATTACTCCTTCAATCAGGCACACCATATCAAAAGCTTTAAATTAAATCAGATTGCGTTAATGCCTACTTTGTCTCCTGTGTAAGTCTCATGTACAATGTTTCAGTGGCTCTAAACACTGACAAATCCCTCCCCATCAAAGGGGCAGGGAGCAGTCATGGATCCACGTGGTCCAAGATGCCATCCTACACTGCATCCCACCGTACCCTGTGCCTGGAGACCACCAATCACCCCATGGACAGGCCAGGAGTGCTCCCCCTCAGGGTACCTCGTTCAGCCCTGCTGGATCTGAGGCAGTCCCTGATACTGGACACGGTTTGTTACATGAGCTGTGAACATCCCACACTGAGGTGGAAGCCAGCACCCAGTTTTCTATGCACGATCCATGAAGCAGCCCGGCCTCCCTCTCTCATGGCTTCAGAGGTAAACGCTTCTACTTGGAACCCTAGAACTGAAACTGGTGGTAGTTTATACAAAAGAAAAATGTAAACAATTCCCCCCAGATATTAAGAAACTGTTCATGCTTTTGCGTCACACATTTGGGGGGTGTTTGTCTCTAAACCAGCCTATCTATACCTAACCTAGACTGCACCAGGGCAGAGCTGGGGTTTCAAAGAGAGGCTCACCTTGGAGGGAAGAGATGTGATCCCACTAGCACAAGCCAGGACCATTCAAAAAGGGAAAGAACTTGGAGCAACACACCTTAAAATGCTCCTTATTCTTCAAAGGAGAGTGGGCTGCGCCTGCAGCTACTGCTGCCAGCACTGCCATGGCACAGGGATCTGCAGCGAGATCTCCTTAGGCTGGTGAAGTTGCAGCGAGCTGCAGAAATGCCCCCACCGCTCCCAAAGAAAACGCTGATACCACATTTTCCCAGGCTGAGAGGGTAAAGCTTTGTATGCAATGCCACACAGGGCAGGATCTGGAACCCAGCACTAGGAGCTAGCGGGGGAGTACAGGTCCAAAACAGAGCAGCCTTCAGCAAGGGAACTTTGCTATAAAGTGGTTTAGCTCCCGTGACCCTTTTTCCTCACAAGCATTGCTGCCTTGGAAGCTGATACAGGACCTGCTGCCATCAGCCTCAGCTGCAGCAGACACTGCTCACTGCACTGGCTCTGTGAGGGGTGTCTATATCTTATCCATGGGAAAATTAAAAGCCATGGCAACTGACAGGCAGCACAGTGTAAACTTAATGGGGTTTTTGCTAGGATGAAATACAAACCTGGCAGCGATGACACTTATATCTTCAACACCACAAAGAAGGGTTCTGCTTTCCTTTCAGCATTTTGAAACTGCATGTTAATACAGGGTATTAGGACTTTGAGTCCCTCATGCCCTGGCAGGAGCTGTTAGTGCTGCAGTTCAAAGGACAAGATATTGGTATTTTGACAGTTTGCTGTGCTAACTCTGACTTCACAACCCCGGCAGAAGCTTGCCAGCAGGAGCACAGACCCTCCACAACCGCTGTGCCAGGGAAACGAGGACAGAGACACAGCATGCTGAACGGAGCCATGAGGAAGAGGAAGATAGAGCACTTCCCATAGGAATGAGGGAAACGTCATTTATCTCTAAGACAAGACTGGGGCAAAATTCACCTGCTGGCCAGGTCCAGCTCATGCGGCTCCCTGCCTGACCACCACACCAGCCCAAACCAGTGTTTGTTAACACAGTGTTACCCTCTGTGCAGGATTTGACTGCACAGGCTTCACGGGCAAACAAACCATGGCCAAGGCTGAGCCTCCTGCTACCAAAAACCTGCATCATCCACTGCCAGCATTGGGGCAGATGAGCTTTTCCAACTTTATTCATCCCCACTCACTCTGCACTGATTTCAGCAGAGATTTATCCAGACCCCAGCAGAAGACACACATGGCTTCTGCCCTGGTACAACACTCGCAGCCAGACTCACTTTTACCTCTTCTTACTTTTACGGTTTTGGTTTTTATGTTTTGGGTTTTTTTTGCCAAGCCCTCAACTTCTTCATAAAATCCACAAGTAAATTACTGAGCGGATGATAATTACCACACTCCCCAAATAAAGCTGTGAGCTTTTTAAAGCAGAACAAGCACAGAAGCATGAGCAGCTGTCCTGTGCTTATTTAAAGGGAAAGTTTAATTGCTCATTTTAGTCTTTGCTCCTCCCAGAGCTCCTCACAGTGAGCACTTGGACATGGCACTTCACCGATGCAAAACCCAGGTGAGTCCATATCAACCACCTGTGGCCAGGGTCACCCCCCCCATTCCAGCTTCCATCAGCTGTGGCCATTCCCTGGCGCAGTAATGCAGTTTGCCACGATGAGAGGTGCCAAGGCAGCATGCCCACTGGTTTATGGTGTATACCTATTTCACAGGGACAGGGAGTCTCTTTCTTTGAGGTTAATCCACCAGAAAAAAAAAAAAAAAAAAAAAGCTTTTCAAAGCTTTTCACTGAATCCTTCTCAAACAAATCTTTCATCCTCTGCTGTATCTCTAAATACTTTTCTATCTCTATGTTAAAAAGTATCTCCTATCTGTATTTAGAACAAAGCTTCAAAGCCCAGCCAGTATTTCTCTGCCTATACACCAGCAGTTTCAGGTCGGCTCATTCCCCACGCGTCCGGCTCACAGCCGAGGGAAGCGCAGGGGGAATTTTAACTCGATCTGAACCATCGGTCCGTGCTTCAAGCGCAGCACCCCTGTTCCTGCATACTTACCGCAGCCGAGGGAAGGGGGATAACAGAGGTGTAATGAAACGGGATAAATGCAATCAGCCGTAAGGGGACGGCGGGGAATTCCGAGAGTTCAGCGCGGTATTTCTGGCATAATTCTAGCTAGTAAGGCACAAGAGGCAGCATCTCGGTTACGGCTCGGGAAGCCTCCGACAGAGGAAATGCGAACCCAGCTGGGGCAGCAGGGGCAGAGGTGCTCAGATCCGCCGCAAAGCAGCTGCGGGACGGGGCGCGGGGTGTCGGTGCCATGCGGGTACAGGATACTGATGGATACGGTGCAGGGTGACGGCGGGAGGAGGGACAGGGGATGCGGAGTACGGGGTGCCAGCGGGACGGAGGTACTCACCGGACATCGCCGTAGGCGCCGGCGTAGCCCTCGGCCCAGGGCTCCAGCTCGCTCTTGATGCAGGCGGCCGGGACGGCGAAAGGCGCCCGGCCCGCCGGGTACCAGGTGTCGGCGGGGAAGCCGGCGGTGTCTGCGGCCAGCCCGCGGCCGCAACCGAGGGGCCCGGCGGACGGCTCGGCGCAGGGCCCGTACAGCGGCCCCTCCTCGGTGAGAAAGGCGGGCCAGGGCGGCGCGGGGCCCGGAGGGGCCATTTCGGTGCCGTAGCGGCACACGTTGCCCCAGCTGCCGCCCGCCGCCGGCCCCGGCGGGCTCTCCAGCTTGACGCGGGCGTGCGGCGGCAGGCGGAGGACGGGGGCCGGCCGCGCTGCGGGCTCCGGCGAGCCGTGGCAGAGCTCCGGCCCGGCGGGGACATCGACGGCCAGGGCAGCCCCGGCGCCCGCGAAGGCGGCCGGAGCGGGCGGTGCCTGCGGCGGGTCCCCACCGGCAGGGCGAGGAGTACGGGGCGGCCCGGCGGGCAGCGCGAACATGCAGTCCTCACGGGTCAGCGGCTCGGTCGGTGCCTCTAGGGCCAGGCCCATGGAGGCAGACACGGCCCTGCAGAGCTGCCTGGCGCTGTCGCCCAGCGGGTCCTCCTTGGGCGCCGGCTCGGCTTCGGGCGCCGCCGGCAGCGGCATCGCGCCCGTCTCGCCCAGCAGCTCCCTCATCTCGCCGGAGCAGGGAAAAGGCGAGCCCACGGCAGGGCCGCCTGCCGGCACCGCTTTCCCGGCGTCGCGGGGCTCCTGGGGCGGCAGGCAGGAGGGCGAGTAAGGCGGCCGGGGGCTCGGCGGCCGGGGCTGCTGGCCGGCGCCGGGCTCCTCCCGCGGCGCCTGGAAAGCCTCGCATACGCTCTGGAAAAAGCTCTGGAAAGCGCCGCGGAAGGTCCTGCCGCCCGCCCGCGGGTAGACGCGGCCAACCCCCAGCTGGACCTCCATGCCCGCTCAGAGTGGGGCAGCGAAGGTGGCAGCGAAAACAGCAGCGGCAGGCAAGGCGAAGCCGGAGAGCCCCGGCAGCAGCTCCCCGGCCGCCCGCCCGCCGTACCGGTTAGCAGCGGCGCGGCCCCGCGGCTTCCATCCCCGCCGCAGCACTGGACAGGGTGCTCGGGGCGCGGAACAGGCAGCGAAAGTTAGAACCGACAGAGCGGGCAGGTGCCTGCGGGCGGCGGAGGGAGGCGGAGCGGCGAGGGGGGGGGACGCCCCGCGCAGCCGGGGCAGTCCGGGAACTCCCCGGTGTCCCGGCAGGGGCGAAGCGCGCTCGCCCTGCCCGCGGCGTGGCTCGGCTCGGAGCGGAGTCCCGCGGGGCTGCCCTGGAGCAGCGCGGACCCGCAGCGCCGCCGCCGGCGCCCGCTGCAATTTCTCGGCTCAGCGCCTTCAGCGGTGCTGGCCCCCGCGGGAGGAGCGGAGCGGGACGGGACGAGCTGCGCAACGCGGCTGGGCGCGGCTGCAGCGGGCCCTGGTGCCCGTTCCCCGGTAGGCGGCCCCGGCTCCGGGGGCTCCGCTCCCTTCGCGGCTCCGCCTGCCCCGGGTGATGCGCTGCGCGCCGTTGAGCGGGATTAGCAGGAAAACGCTCGTTTTCGCTGGGAGCTCAGCAGCTCCCTCCGCCCGAGCCCTGCTGGGGGCTCCACCGGCCCCTTTGCCTCCTGGGCACGGAGGTTGTGTCCCTCGCCCCGTCCGACGGCAGCCATCCCCGCCGAGACCCAGCAGACCGGTGTACCACCACCCTGCTCACGCACCAGGCTGACGATGACCTCGCCAGCAGACATAATTAGCGTAGGACCTACCACAAACAAGGCTTGAGCTCCCCTTGCTGGTCCTGTAATTAACAGTCCTCGAGCAACTTCTGGTAGGCGCCATTCCCGGACAACCTGGTAATGGAATCAGTCATTTGAGGTAGCTTAAAATAAGCCCATTAATTTCAATCCCTTTGGAGATAAAGGGAAAGTAATAACGTGTTGTAAATGGAGAAGTGGAGCCAGTCGGGAAAATGAAGAATCCTGTACAGTCCTTTAAAAGTATTTTTACAAGCTGTAGAAGATAAAAATAAAAATCCCAAGTACAGCCAAGCACAATCTGTCAGCGTGCTCTGAGCTGCTGGAGCCCCACATCTATCAGCAGCGTGGCTGGAGAAGGCAATTTATGGAGAAACCCTGTGGGCTTTCAGTCTGTATGAAGCTCCAAGCTGGTTTTTAATGACACGTAATATAGAACCTAAAGTGATGGAGAAGCATGGCTAAAAGCTGAAAAGGCAAAAACAGAGGGATGCACAGTAACATGTGCAGGGTGACTGTGTAAACTGTCATAGGTCTCAGCGTTCCCACCTGCGTTGCCACAGAAGAGCCTGACTGCAGCTCGGGGTGAGCTCTCTCACGGCATGTGGCCCCAGCCCTGGGGTGACAGAGTAGAATCACAGAGTGAATCAGAAGCATTGAACCAGTAGCTGCAGCTCTGGGTGAGAGGGGATGGAATACGGCAGGAGAGGTGTTTCAGAGGGATGCAAAGACACCCATGAAGATGAGGAGGACATTTGTGTGGCCAGCTAATAACCACATTACAAATTGTTCCTCACCTACCCACATGGGGAAAAGCCTGCATGTAGGAAGCCTTTTCATGGGGTAGGCTTGTTAGAAGAGACTGCTACAGAAGCAAGGTCATGTGCATCGCTTTTCAAAGAGCTGATATAAAGCCTAAACTGGATTTTATGAAAAATTAGTACCATTAGCTCAAAGAATGTCTATTTCTTGGACACCAATAAGTGTCCAGGCTCACTTTTCTCACCAGCTACACAGTACCAACAATGCTCCAGCATTACCACAAAGCTGCTCAGCTCTTCAGAAATGAGGGCAAAGCCCTTGAGGCACAAACCCAAGATTCACAGGTGGATCTGATCATGCGATCCCCCATAAATGATGCAATTTCCCCCCTCCCCATTCCACAAAATTAGCTGTTGCCACATATCCATGCTGGTACCTGCCAAGTTGATGCAGATCCCAGCGTCTTTGCTCATTCAGTCATCAATAATTGTCAGGACCCTGGAGTAAAACACATGGACTCTGGAAAACATCAAGGGGAGGATTCTCATGATTGGAGTAAAGAAATGCATTGAAAAAAAGCCGAGGTCAGGAAGTGCAGTGTAATATCCCTTAAGAAAGAGATGCTTTGTTTTTTAAACAAGGCAGGGTGATGCACACCTGTGATTCTCACAAGCTGCATCAGAGCACTGTTTGGCACCACCACTTCCACCCAGGAGGAGATGTCCTCCATCCCTTCATATGTGGTGCAAACCCTGTGAGTGGTGCAGACCCCAGTGCAAGCTGGACTCTGTGTTCAAGTTCTGCCTCGGACTGGGTGTATATGCATCTGCGGGCGTTTTCCCTGTTTCTCAGGTTGGAATCTGGCCTGCTCTCTCCTGTCCTTGCAATATCTGCCCTGTGAAGATTTTCCCCCAGTCTGCAGTTTGCAGCCAGACTTTGGGAGATTCTAATCATGACAGACAGCCTGAAGAGGCTAATTCCTTTCCCTTTCCTTTTCCTTTTACCTTTTAGTATCTTTTTTCACTTTCCTTTTTCATTTTCCTTCCTCTTGCAAGCATTTTGTTTCCTGGTATTCCCATGTTTCTTCTTAAAATTATGAAATGTCAGTGTTTTAAGGGTGCGTATGTTTGTGGCTGCACATGCTATTTTTTAAAGGCTTTATGTATTTGAATCTTTATACTTGGTTGATAAAGAAAAATCAGCACTGCGAATGCACAGAGGTGTTTTACTTGCAGTTACTGTCTTACCAATATTAAAGTGTAACTTTCTGTAGCATTTCAAAGGTTTTTTTACTAGTTTCATGAAATCTGAGTCAAATCCTTGCCGTAAAATCACTTCCTACAGCTTAGAAGCCGACCGCAGCCTCAGCTTACATCTTAAATTTCACGCACTGGATTCCAACATGGCAAAACAGGCGTCTTTTCTAGAAAGACCAGGCAAAACTCACGCAAATGTGTATTTTTTCTGCATGCAAATGAAGCTCCAGCTTTGATTATTGAACTAGTGAAGACTGGGCAGCAGCACACACCTACGTGTGTTCCAGAAAAGCTCCTTGCTCTTGTGCAAGGCCTTGCTTTTCTGCAGCTCAAAGCTGCAGGACGTGTTACAGGTTGTTTGCTTGGACCTGCTGTGTGGCTGTTGGTGGAGATATTCATGTGTCTGATTCCGTTTTATTACTAAAGTGTTAAGGAGGGCTGAAAGCATTTTGTTTCACTTTACTGTCTCACAAATCTGGAAGTGTTCTATTCTAACACTCCAGTGGTATTTGATTTTATTTATTACATCTAAGTGTAAGAATTATAGCACATGGTTTTCTGTTATGTAAGATATCGTTAAAGCCAAGAATTGGGGTGGACATCCAGTCTAAAGCACTGCAGTTTTGGTCAGATGAAGGTGTTTGCAGCAACATATGGACAAGATGACTGTTCTGGTTGTGTGTCACCCAGTTGGTGGCACCAGCTCTGCCTTGGCACAGGAGCTGCCAGCATGGGGCTCTGCACCATACCCAGCCCTTGGTTTTCCAGCTGAGTAATGCACCGTTTAGGTAAAAAATTAGCCATGAGCAAAACCAGATATTTTTTCACAGGTACATGTGACTTTTATCATAACAGCTCTAAAATCCAGTTTATCTGAACAGTTGGGAGCGCGTGTCCTTCCGGCTTAACCACAGCTTTTAGCTTGGAGAGAAGGGGGAAGGAGGGGATGATGTGGTGGGAGGACGGTGTTGCCAAACCATGTACCTCTGTGGCCTAGAGCTGGCAGCTCTGGTGTGTGTGCCAGGGGAGTGGGCAGTGCGAGGCCATGTGCCATCAGGATGCCATGGGCCCTGCTGATGGCAGCTTCTGCTGGGCTCTTCTCCTGCATCCTGGCATCACTGAGATTCATCCCCTGCCACTGCTTCCTTTGCTGTGCAGGCAGGAGGAGGCAGAGCTGTTCGCTGGGTTTGTTACCCTCTGTATGTGAGCAGCAGAGCAACATGGCAGTACCTGGTGTTCAGGGAGACGTGAGTCTGTGCGGTGGGGTAAGGGAGCAAAGAGCCAGAGATAAAGGAGGTGTTTCCAGAATAAAACGTGTGAAGTGCACAGAGTGATTTTAAGAGAAGCATCACCTTTTGCTTTATATATAAGTAGTTTACTGATGTAAGCTAAATGCATATAGGTTTGGTTTTTTTTAATGAGACCCTAGATTCATAGATTAAAGTCTAAACTTAATATAGTTTATAAAAAAGTAAGTTAAATATGAAAAAATCATCTTATTCCCTCTATTTGCTCCCAGTATTATAAAGAAATTTTGTCACATGCCTGTTGGAAGTCCCTGCTTGAGCATCTAAGACTGAAGTTCATTGACAAGTTAAATCATCATTTCTAAGGGTCACCCTTTCTAAGGGTCAGAGGGAATTTTTCTTTTTAGTTGGTTTGAGCAGTTCAGTTCAGTTAAATCCTACGACAAGTGCTGGGACAGGCAGGAGCCCTTCTGCTTCTGTCCTGAGGTCAAAACGGGCTGTGACTGGATGACCTCTGCCACCCCTAAAATGACATCTTCACCCCTAAAATCGGGAAGGAGACACGGACCACACGCAATTGATGCAATGCTTTACATATGGACAGCGCTTTATCTAATAAAGTTGTTTTTCACATTTAAATAATAAAGCTGTAACATACTCAGAATTTAATACCATTTTCTTTAAAAACAATCTTCAAATTCTGCATGTCTGTTTTCACTGATTTTAAATGCAGCTTGATACAGCACACAAATAAAATGAATAATTGCACTGTAATTGGCCCACACAACGAAGCCAATGGTGCTGTTGAAATGTGGGCAACTGTCTGGTCGAGGAGGATTACTGGGCACTGGTTCAAGACTATGACTACTTAAGAACATAAATCTGCAGTTCTACAGGGGAAACCTGGCCATGCCAAGTTAGGAGGGGTCTGAAGAAGAGCTAGCAAATAACTGATCTTTCCCAGCACCTGCGCTCCCCATCCTAGCAGTTCAAAACCCAAGATTCAACTCTCTGCAACTTCTGCTCCATGCAGTTGGAAGCGCTCCAGTTTGAGCAGTGGGCTGGGTGCAGATTTGAAGGATGGGTAAGAATCTCCAGCCAAAAGCGATGGAGAAAATAATAGGGAA